GGAGGTGGGGAAAGTGAGTGGGGTATAAGCAAACAAGATCAGCCACGAGTGATCATTTATATGGTACTTAGAATTTCCAAAATGCCTAGTTTAAAAAGATTTCTAGACTGAAGTCATGCTTTACTCTACACCAGGGTCCCTTGTGACCAGGGACGGACCAGAGACTTCCCTCTGGAGACTCACAGTTCCACCTGTATGCTAAGCCTTTCTCTGGTCATGTGTGGTCTTCTATGCAAAGACCTCAAATGCTGGAGACCTAGCCCTATCAGCTGGGTTTCCAGGGAGCCAAGGGCCTGAATTTAACCTCTTCTTGCCCAGGCCGTGGCGGTGGAGATAAGACCGAGAAGGGTCAGGATCTAACAAAAGAGCCTGACATCACCCTGCGTTCGTTAGTCACCTCTCACTCTCAATCCGGGCCGGGGGGCCTTGCTCTCAGGCCTGCAAAAGGCTCATTTAATGACTTAGGAGAGCACACACCACTTAGGAGAGCAACCATTTTGTAGGGCAGAATGAAATCAAAGTGGGTAGCAGAGCAGAGGGCCATAAACTATAGAACCTGGGGACTCAGTCTGGTCCACTGCTTGCTCTGTGAATAAAACATTTTTTTTTGGTCTTTGAACACACCACTCCCATGAATTGGCATATGTTTGTCTAGGCTTTTGCCCCACAGTGGCCAAGCTGAATAGCCGAGGCAGAGACAGTGGAGCCTTTACATAAAGTTTGCTGCCTAGCTTAGAAGAAATTAAGCTTTCTTCAAGCAGCCTAACGAGGACAGTGAAAGCAGAAGGTGGGAGAGTGCACAGGTGGGTGGGAACTGACATGTGACCATCCTGTCCCTGGAGAGGAGGCCGCAAGGACCCCCGTGCAGTGGTTCCAAAGATTAGGGTGGGGAAGGCTGCTGTGGGCAAAAAGGCCAAATAGACAGCGGAATGTACCAGCAAGAAGAAAGGCACCCTACGTCACATGTGAGGAGAAAGAGTAGAAAGAACAGCTGGAATTCAAAACCAGTCAAAACCGAACAAATAGTAAAAGCAGTTAATGGCAAACCCTTTGCCCATTTATATGTGCCATGCCTGCACAACAGCTCCAATTTTGTCTGACCACAGAAATGACTGAATTTCAAACATGACCCCGTCAGAGGATGTGGACAACCCCAGCTACGTCCCAGGTCATCAGCTGCAAGGGGCTGCAAGGGGCCGCAAGCAGCACAGAAGGGACCTTTACCCTGAATCCCTGACAGGATGCAGCTCTCCCCTCTTGTCTCTCAGTGCTCAGATGTACAGTTTGCTTCTCCAGAGAAGAGAGGTCCCCCTACCCTCCCCCTAGGAAAGCGGCAGCCAGTCAGCTTCTGCAGACCTGATCTAGTTTTCCTTCAAAGCAGCATAGGACCTGCAAGAAGGTCCACTACAGAGGCCATACAGCGTATTGGCCCAGGACGCCACACACCACCACACTGAGAACAGACCCTCTGCTGAGCACAACAGTCAAGTTTCCAAAAGGCAGGTGAAAATACCAACCTGGTGCTACCTGTCTGGGTAGATTACCGAGGGCAAGTCTTCAGTTACCTGTTAGCCAAGGACCTCAGTCTCTACTAGGCGACTGCCCTTCATCCTGGGAGGCTCCAGCATCCCCTGGCTGCTGCCTGGTCACCTGCTTCCAGGGCTCCACAGCGCCCTCCCCCTCCCTGCCGCCTGGAGGTCTGGCAGCTGCTGCAGCAAAATGCAGCAGCGTCTACTCACTAAGGCAGCAGTGCGGTGACAGCCATGACAGGGCCTCCCCAGCTCTAGGCACTTCAGAGGAAGCCCCCAAATTCCAGTTAGGAGAAGGCCACAGCTTTTAAGGATAAATTCCTCTCTGACCCAGATCACTGCTGCAAGGGGAAAAGGAAGCAAACTGCTCCTTTTCCCTGGCCCTGAATCAGCTCCAGCTCTGCAGGCTCCCCACAAATCCTCCTCCAAAGAAAAAAAAGAGGGGAAAAATGCCTCAGACAAGGGGAGGCTCTGGAGTCGATCCCACCCAAGAGCAGATGAGAGACTCCCATGGAGACACAGGCACGAACCCAGATGGGAGCCAGCTGACAACGTGCACTTCTCTCTCCTCTGACGGGTTCTCTCTCTGTCCCTCTGCCCAATCACAGGCTCGGGCCTCACACCAGCCCACCTCCACCAGGGCTGGCACAGCAGGGCTGGCTACGGAAGCTGGGCAGGACCAGGCCAGCCCACAGGCTCCCGAAGCTGGTGCTGGAGAGCAGGGTCAGCAGGTGGACGAGGCCATGGTTTGCCAACCCCTCTGCTCTCACTTGGTGTGAATAAAAGATCACCTCGGTGCCAATGGGGTTTGAGAGCTGAGGCGACCTTGAAAAGACAGGGGAGACACACGTTCCCTGGGCTGGATGAGCCAGCAGCCATGAGAGGGAAAAGTACACGAGAGGAGGCTTCCTGGGTAGCTTATTGCATGTACTTGCCCTTTCTGCCCTTACAGAGAGGACCCCTGGGGAAAGAGGGGAGCATCTCCCCTCAGAGGTGAACAAACAGCTTCCGAGACTCAGTAACCTGCTACAGTGCCTCAGTTTTCTCCTACAGAGACAGGATGAGAAGCAGCTTCATCCACTCCTCTTCAACATCCAAGACCCCAAGTGGAAGAGTAAGTCCCTATAAACCCTGAAAGCTGGGAAACATCAGTCTTCAGTGCCCTTTCCAGTGGAAACCTCACTTAGAATGAGGTTCCTTTTCATGACTTCACTACAAAAGGCAGGGCCGTGCTGACAAACAAGAGGTCCAGCCTCGATCCTCAAATCTGCCCTGGCCTTGCTATGTGCCACGTCTCTGGTCACCCCACTCAGCCCTCAGTCATTGCATACTGGGGCCATCCTCCCCTGTACTCTGGTACCTTGTCCCTGGGCCTTTACAACCTCCTGTGAAGCCCTGCCTGCTGGGCACACCCCCGTGTCAGGGAATCTCGCTCCTGTACCCAAAGCCTCACTGCTGACATCAGACTCACTGACTCAGCTGCCACCAAATGCTTCCGGTTGGAGGAAAAAGCAGCTAGAGCCCACTGAAGGGATCAGGGGACCAAGGGCCTTCACAACCCCCCATATAACCTTTGTGACACCCAGGGCCTCACAGAAGTGCCAAGTCCCCTGCTGACATTTTCTACAGGACGGGCTCAAGGCAGACTTTGGCTGATGGGAATAGAAGGATAACACTGTTCCCAGTGCCAAGCCTGTAGGACACCTACATCTGTGACAGTTCTATGTAGAAACAGATAAAGAACGAATGAAGAAGGCAGTTACCATCAGTCACATATAAAACTTTGATTCCATGCTTTACACATCCAATGGGGGGCATGAGAGGGGTAGAACCTCAAGATACTGTTCCTGGAGTTCTTGCCCCTCTTTCACATTTCTGGACCCTTGGTTGTGAGCAAAAAGAGATTCTCAGTCTCACACTACTGAAGAGAAAGCCATCAGAATCCTGGAAGCTAAATGACACACACCAAGAACTCACACACAGAAGACCAGGATGTAAGGGGGTAACCAAGGAGATATGTTCTGAAGCAGTGCCAAAGAGTTCTACAAATGTATCACATTTGCATCTTAATGACAAAGGACACTTAAATCACATACTTCTTTCGGTGATGCAGAAAGTCGCCCAACCGAAGAGGAGTGAGTGAGGGCCAAGCCCACATCCCTGCCAATTAAAAGGCGAGCAGCAACTCAGCATCTTCAGGTCATCTGCCCGCGTGGGACTCTCAGTTCAGACCAGGTCTCTTGCGTCCTTGGAAGCACGCTCCTCTCCCCCCACTCCATGTTGTAATGAACTCCAAAACAAAAGCAGCAGTTTGCACAGAAGAACGAACAGCAGCTGTGTCTTACCTTTCCTTCCAAAGTGAAGGACACAGACCCAGGCGGCAGGCAGCAGCATCTCTGTCCAAGTCCAGCCATTCCAAAGAGCCACTGCCACTGACAGCCTCTCCAGCCTGGGCATGGGGAAGAAATCACAGTGAGGGTGCCCCCAGCACCTTTAGCCCAACAGAAACAGACAGTTCACCTCCTGCCCCACAAAGGGCAATTGAGCAGGCTGGGGGTCTGGAAAGCACTGCACTCACCTGCCTTCTCTCCCGCAAGACAGCGGCCTCTGCTGGGTGGTTGAATCGGAACTTCTGTGCTTTCCCCAGGGTTATCACAGCTCCTGTGGCCCGAGATAGAAGTCAGGCAACTGCTCACACTTAGAAATACACATTTAAGGATGCAGGGCACTGTTCTGTAAGACAAAGCACCGCCCTCAACAAACGCACAGTTTAGCGGAGTAAGTCATATGCTCACTGGATCGCACACAGTATGTTTATGAATGAATGACATGAAGAGGGCAAACCCTGGTCCTCCAAGGGAAAGCAAGATGAGTTCCAGATGAGGTAGTCAGGAAATGCTTTATGGAAGTAGGAGAATCTGAGCACAGGCTCAAAGGACAGGCGACACTGGGTAGACTGTAATAGTAGCCAGAACAATGATAGAAACGGCAAGGTTTACTCAGTGCCAGCAACAATGTTAGGGATTTTACATGGAGGAGCTTATTCACACCTCATAGCAACCCTCTTCTGACTCCCATTTAACAGATGAGGAAACTGAGGTTGGGATCCTCCCAAGGCCACAAAGCTAACAAGCACAGATATAAATGTCAGAGTAATTCTCCACGCTGTTGTGCTGGAGTTGGAGTTTGTTTGTTTAGAAAAAAGATTTGGGCTCATGAGAGGGTCATAGGAGGAAATGTTAAGATCTGATGGAGCTCCATCCATCAGCTTGCTTCACCACACTCTCTGACCCATGAGACCATAGCTGGTCTACCACATCCCAGCACAAACACAGCAGTGGACGGTTCTACCTTGGGTCAGACGACAGGAGGCAGTGACCTCCCGGCCATTGACTGTGCAGCGGGCTCCCTGGGCTGGCCGCAGGACCACTACCCCACAGGCACTGGTGATGGTACAATGGTCTCTCTCGATCCACTGCCCCTGCAGGACTAGAAAGAGGTCGGGGTCACATGGGCCTGGGCACCTCCAGGAAATGCCCTCTTCCATACTAGGAGAGCAGAGCCACCTAGCACCCCTTGGGCCTGGATCTTGCCCCAGCCCAGCGTGGGTCTCTTTAACATGTCCCAGGCCCACAGCCTCACACAAGAGGAGGGACTCCTCAATGCTTCAAAGTTCCTTTCTCTCAGATTCCCCTGAAGAAACCTTTCAGGCATGAATATCTGCCACAGACTGTCAGGCCCATATGTCCTGTCACTTACCAATATCCTGTTCCTGGTCTGAGTCAATTCTTCCTATTTTTGTTGTCCCCTCCTAAAGGAAAAACCAAAGTGATTTTAGCGAAAACAAAAAGTGACACAGCGCTGCCCCCAATGAGAGTCCACCTATCTGGGTGTCATCACCCTCTCCCACGCCCTCCCAGACTTGCCCACACCACTTCTCCACTTTGGCCCAGGCTGTTCTGGCTGCTCTACCACTCCCTCGGCAGCCCAGGAAGCCCCGGAGAGGCCGGACACATATGACAAGGCAGCACCATCTGCTACATGTGCTGCACACTCCTTCCTGCCTGAAGCTAGGGGAGAGGTGTGGCTCTGGGTCAGAGGTTGCCAAGTCTGAGGACATGGGTACCCAAGGGGCTTAGGCCAATGCGACCCTTGGTTGTGTCAGTCTCAGAGACACATGTTCTATGAAGATGAGACACAGGGTTTTTACCTTCTTGGTCTGCAGATGAAGTTGAACTGACACCAGATTCTAAGGAAGGGAAAGCACAAGTAGGAGAAAAGCACATCTAGAACCAAAGGGGACTGGAAGAGAGTCTAAGAGAGGAGGGGGAACTGGAGTGTGTACAATGAACCCCTGGGTTCGTAGCAGACAAGGCCGTCGGCCTCGCTTTATGACAATACTGCTCAAGACCACAAAGGCCCGAGGAAGGCGGTGACAGCCACGGAGGTGCTGAAATTCAGATGGCACCGAGCCCTTATTGAGTTACCATTCCCTGTGTCCCAGGTGTTGTGCTGAGCTCTCCAGAGGCATTTCTTACTCCTTCAGTGATACCCCAATTGCAGGTAATTACTAACCCTCCCCCCCCCTTTTTTTTTTTAAAGATTTATTTATTTATTCATACAGAACTGGGGTACAGGCCAGAGATGCGGAGGGTGAGAGGATTCACCAGAGACAGAGCGGGAGCAGAACAGGCAGGTCGACGAAGTACACTGCTGAGGAGAGCAGTGGGCGGGTCAGGAGAGGTCTGCCTCGCCATGTGGTCGCCTCCGGGGCAGGCGGGAATCGAACTCATGCTGAAGTGGCTTTAGTTTCTTAGTGCAGTGCTTTAACCCGCTGCGCCACCAGGGAGGGCCCACCCTCCCCCTTTTTATAGAGCAGAATCTGAATTCCACGAAGGACAAGTTGCCGAAGGAACCCACACACTAAGAGGGGAACTCTTGGCTAGATTCAGGCCCTTCTGGGTTCTGAGCCTATGCTTTTCCAACATCCCCAGTCACTGATAATTTAAAAAGTAGCCCCAGAGGTCCCCCTAGACAGTCCTATCAGTAACTAGGAGGGAGGCCCTGGCAGCTCCTCCAAGAGAAGGAAGACTCCTGACAGTCAAGCGCAAGGCTTGGGCCTCACCGAGCCCCTCCACATGGAGGGCCTGAGCCAGCCTGAGCCCTCCTTCCTGCTCTGTCCCTGATGACCACTAGAGCCAGGCTAGCTCCACAGAGACTGCAATAAGAGTCATGGGACAGGAGGCGAAACCCTCACTGTGGGGCCTGGGTCAGCCCTGATGAGGCGCATTTGTCCAAAAAGGATGACATCCACAGCAACCACAACTTTTAGTTGTGGTTTCTAGTTCTGTCCTGTTCTGCAGGACAGAAACCACCTAAAAAGTGACAGCCCCCCGGCCCTCCCTGGTGGTGCAGCGGGTTAAAGCACTGCACTGAGAAGCTAAAAGCCGCTTCCGCATGAGTTCGATCCCCGCCTGCCCCGGAGGTGACCACATGGCGTGGCAGACCTCTCCTGACCCGCCCGCTGCTCCCCTCAGCAGTGTACTTCGTCGATCTGCCTGTTCTGCTCCCCGCTCTGTCTCTGGTGACGCTTCTCACCGCCCCTGAGCCTCTGGCTGTACCCCAGTTCTGTATGCATAAATAAATAAATCTTTAAAAAGAAAAAAAAAGTGACAGCCCCTAAGATGCCAAGGACAGAGCTGCCTCTGGGGCTTGCCGCCCCCTCTGCCTCCTTTTGAGGGAGTCTGCTGGCACAAAGGCAACCGTGAGGGTGCAGCCCAGGACAGCAGCCACCTGTGCTCTGGCCACCCCTGCCCATTCCCACCCAATGCTCCCCTTAAGTGACTGAGGAAAACAGCTCCCAGGGTACCGCCAGGGACTAGCTCCAGGCCTTAACCACATTAGCAGAGCAAATGGAGATACAGAGAACCCTGAGTTATTCTTATACACTATGACCGAAATCAGAATCTAAACAAAAGGTGGGGGGAGATGGCTACACAAAATGCAGAATACAGGGCTAGAAGGAGACTCAAGGCTCACGCCCAGGCTCACAGGAAAGGCAGCATGGAGGGAACACCGCCCGCCGTGCGCCCTGACGCAGTGGTGAAAAGCGGGGCGCCCTCGCAGAGGCTGGTGACTGCCTGCATGTCTACAACTGAGTGTCAGAGTCACGTCCTTTCACGCAGCTGCTGCAAGGAGTGCTGCCATCCCGCTTCTAGCTTCATCTGCTCACTCCACAGTCAGTCAGCACAGCAGAGTGATTCTACTCAAGCATGGGACGTTGCTATAGATCTGGCCTCTTTCTGAGCCCCTCTTCCTCCCCGTGGTTCTAACAGAAGGCTGTATAGGCTCTTGGTATTTAGGTTTCTTGTTAAGGCAGCAGTCACATATGCCTGAGGCATTTTCACTGAGATAATTTATGCTGTGTGTGTCAGAAAAGAAACTATTTTAGCTTTATGAAAGGCTCCGTCTCTGACAATTTCCATGCGGGTTGATCCAGTGAACACAGACTTTCTAACGTGACAAGCTAATGACTCATGCCATGTGCTCCACAGCATTAGGGGCTCATTCCTCGTGGGGTAATAACAACATTTCATATCCCCCATAAATGCTTTGCTCCTTTTAAATGTCAGCCCAGGCCAGTATGAGAATGAAGACTGGAATTTCAATAAACAAAGGGATTTTGGCCACGTGGTGGGTTCTGCCACCCACGGGGGGCTGTCCCCCCAACAGAGGGACAAGCATATTTCATGAGGACAGGATAGAAGACGCTGTCTACCATGGTCACCCACTCACAAACTGCTTCATTTACAAATGCGGACACGGTCTCCAGGTGACAAAGAACCTTTGAGCCATGACCTTTCTCCAGCGCTTACGCTCCCCCCCTGCTTTCTTCAGGCTTCCTGTATCTACTTTTTCTGATCTTTCATCTTTCCTAAGTAAATCGAATAGAGAAGTGAGAGGCGCACTTTTCGCTGACTTGGGGGTTGAACTAACTGGGAGTGGATGGGGGTACTGCTGCAGATTTTCTGATTGCTCCTGTAGCCTCTGAGAGTCATCAGTGAGCAGCCTGACTGTGCAGCGCTCAGAAGCAACAGTGGGATCCTGAGGTGAGGATTTCACCCCTGTCACTGCAGCCCTGTACTTGAGGAAGCCAGAAAAGGAACGTAAGCAGCATCATTCTTTTAAAAAGAGGAGATTAATGCATCAAGAAGAAAAGTTACATAAGAGTGAGAGCAGCAGCATGTGAACAATAAATGACTGTTCTGCTTTCCTGTAGCCTTCTCTATTCTCAAAGGCAAGACAGATCGCAGTTGGTTGACTAGCCCACTTTCCTGAGTGCAAACCTGCAGGCAGTTCTCTGCCATCTGTCTCAGCTCATAGACACATGGCTGTTGCCCTTGACTTTTCCAAAATGCCTTCACTCCCAGGGCCAGCAGTTCAGGAAGAGGGCCTGCTTACCTTAAGGTGATAGAGCACAACACCTGTGCTTAGCACATCATCCTCCAAAGCCATGAGGTGTGGCAGGCTGGAGTCAATGACCACCCCGGCCCTCCTCCTGTTGATGTCCACTCTGTACTGCTCCAAGAGGGCCTTCCACTCATTCCATTTCCGGGTCCAGTCTTTAGTTAGCTGGTCGATCTGCAGAAATGGGGAGGTGGTCTCAGATGCTTAGCATGAGGAACACATTAAAAGACTGTAGTCGGCGCCTCCCTGATGGCGCTGTGGGTTAAAGCGCAGCACAGCAAGCTAGAGGCAGCAGCTTCAGTGCTGGTTCGATCCCAGCCCCAGATGTGATCCACATGGCGCAGCAGACCTCCCCTGGCCTACCCGCTGCTCCCCTCTGCAGTGTACTTTGTCAATCTGCCTGTTCTGCTCCCCACTTTGTCTTTGGTGAAGCCTCTCACCACCCCTGCACCTCTGGCTTGTATCCCAATTCTGTATGAATAAATAAATCTTTAAAAAAAAAAAAAAGACTGTAGTCACTCTGGCCTGCTTCCTTGTGGCATTACTTTCCTCTTTTTTTAAAAGATTTATTTATGTATACAAGAACTGGGGTACAGGCCAGAGTTGTAGGTGGTGAGAGGATTCAACAGAGACAGAGTGGGGAGCAGAACAGGTAGATATACTGAAATATGTCTACTAAAATATACTGCCTGGGGCAGCAGCAGGTGAGGCAGGAGAGGGACAGCTCCCTGGCCAGGGATTGAACTGCCAGCCACTACAGCGGTGGCTGCCAATAGCTTGATAGCACTGAGACTTAACCCCTGTGCCACCAGGGAGGCCCTCGAGGCGTTAGTTTCTCATTTCCCTCACTAGTACTGTTTAGAGCCCACACAGGCCTTTGCACCTCCTCTGTAAGCTGTGTTTTCTGTGTTCTTCAATAAATAATTATGACATTCATAAACAGAAAATGCCTCAATAAACATGTTTAAAGTGGTCTGCAATAAGGATGGATTTTTGATATTTAGAAAAAAAAAACAGAAAATTTATTTTAAAAAATTAATTGGATTGTTACTCAGACATCTCTGCTGATGACTTCTTTTCCCCCTTCTTCCTTCTCTGTGATCTATGCTGGGAATCCTTCTAGGTCTTAATACTTCTTTCCCACAGTGCAGTACCTTGAGTCTACCTTGGCACAGAGACCCAGAAAGCATCAAAAAGCAACCTTCCCAGGCAGGATGAAGACTGTATATGAAACTGCTCTGAAATACCACAGAGAAACAAAAAACAAGCCACAAAATAAGGAGGGCTTATTATATATCAGCAAGAGTTTTGGGAATTGGCCTTTGTTGGGAGTGACCAAAGATTTACTGACAAGGACTGAATTGGGGCAGTAAAGAACTGAGCCTTGCATCCAAGCTTGATAAAGTGGTAATAAACTGACCTTGCATCCGGGATGGGACTAGCTGAAGGTGACAGCAAACTGGACCTTACGTCAAGGACACAGCGATGAGTCACCCCTTTGGAATCTGAGTTTAGAATCTAGAGACCTTTCCCCCTTATTGAGTTGGCAGTAGCTGCGGACCCCACTCTAGGGGCTCCGTCTCAGCTGTTGTCCCAGAGCAATAAACTCTGCTTGCTCAGCCTTTCTGCCTGCCACCTTCCTTTCTTGCTGCCGGTCACAGAAGTTGGGACAAAACAGCCTTAAGCTAAGACCATCTGGAGGCATTAACAAATATGACTGAATATTTTTTCTTCTCTTGCTAGAAACTGATGCCTTGGCAGGAAGCTTATCTGGGGAGTGGAACTCTCATACCCTCTGGCTTCCGGTTAGATTCGCCCAAGGGAGTCATCAAAGAACTGAGGCGGCCCAGAAAAAGGAACTGGATTCAACTAAGTACTTATCTCCTACTTAAGAAATATGAAAGGAGACAAGTTCAGGTACAAGTATTTTATGTACCCTGGAAAAACCGTTTTTAGTTATGACCACTGAGTTAAAGACTGCAAATGGTAAAACGACAGTATAGCCATAGCACATTTATAGAATGGGCTGGATTGGGCCTGGCAGAGGTGATGAAGAAGGTACAGTGGCTTAGAGTTCACCTGCCTCACACCACTCCCTGGAGGCACTGCTTAACATATCTCCCCTTTGGCCCACTTCCCATGTCACAAAGCTAGTAAAAGACAGATTTAAGTTGAGGTCTAGAGGTTTCTATAATGTTAAAAAATACTAGTGAGCCTAGATGATTTTGACTTTCCTCCTTCACCTCTTATGTATAGAGGAATATGTTGTTGGGCCAAAAATAAGAACGCATGGCTAAAAAAAGAACTTCTGAGAAATTTCTGGATGTGTGATATAGTACTGAAGTCTGGGTAACAAAATATTGACAAGACCAAGATACTCTAATATCTTATAAGGATAATAAAACAGAATATTGAAAATTGGGACATCTGGCCATGGTATCTAAATGTAACTTAGCAACAAATAATGCCTGCCATTTTTTCCTGTTAAATGTCTCTGGGAATCACCATGTAATCTAATATCCCAAAATTAGATTGAGACCCAGACCCTCTCTGGGTCACAACTGCAATCTCTTTCCTGGTTGATTTTTCTACCTCCAGGCTTCTCTCCCTTTGAGTCATCCTACACACAGCTGCCATGTTAATTTCCCCATCATACACTTTTGCTATGTCACCAATTTGGTTCAAGAAGCTACAAATAATCCTATTATGTCAAGTTCAAACCTCCTAGACTGGCCCTCATCTCACCTCCACCACTTCCAGCCAGGAGTGCCTGCTATAGCAACTCAGTCTCCCTCACACCACATGTTCCACGTGGACTCTCACACCATTCCATTTTCTCAATTCTGTGACCTTGTTAATGTGAACCCTTCCTCACCCAAAATGTCTGTTTCCATCTATCTAATAAACTTTACTGATTTTTCAAGGTCTAATTTAAGTTCTTTGACTTCCAGTTCCAGTACTCTGATGCCTGCACTGAAAATGCTAAGTCATAATGATTTCTTCCTTCCCTAAAATCTTTTTTAACTCATATAGTTATTACACTTAACCATTATGTGTCTCCAACCAGACTTCAAGCAATGGGACTTGGAGAGCTGTTGGTATCTTTTGTGGTATCATGCTGAATATCTATCTGGAGTTCAGTTAAATCATAGTGGTTGACTAGAAAGGATGACATGTTGGTAGGCTGATTTAGTAACTGAAAAATAACTTTCTTTTCCCTGGACCACACTCACTAGAGTGAGTGATGAATGCCTGAGAAAACAAAAAGTTGGTCAACAGTCTCTAAAAGAAACACAGGCCCTCTCTCAAGGGTCACTGGAAACAAACAAACAAAAAAAGTCTCTAAACTAAGTAGGGCTCTGTGTCCTGATGAGAGAGCAGTTCTGACCCAGGAAAAATGGAGAGATGTCAGACCTATTCTCAGAGTGGTGTTAAGCACAACTGAGTCCACACAATACACCCACCTTCGATTCATTTTGGAGAACCAGCTCCTTCAGATTTTCATCTTTTTCTTCATTCAATGGACTGAAGTTTCTCTGCACAAAGAGACATGTCCTTTGTGGATCCCACCCTTACTCTTATGAGGGAAAATAAGGTATGGATAAAGGAAAAATTTTACTGTTAAAATCAAAAACAAATCAGAAGCTTAGAGCTTGAGCTCTAAAGGGGAATTCCAAGAATATTTTTCAGGACGGCCTCAATCTTGCCACCTAAAGAACAGGAGCCATTAAGGCAAATTCCCTTTGGGCACCAGAGATCTAATTAGAAGATGCCTGGGACTTCCAAAACTCCTCAGAGAATCAGACTAATCCCTGGCCTGTCCTCTCTGCTCCCTTATCTGCTCTACCAGTGTTAATTGAGAATAGGAATGCAGCAGAGCTGAGATTCTACATAGGAGAAAAGAGCTTCTGAGTGGAAAACTTTCCACTGTTTGCATACCAGCTCAAAGCTCAGCAGCATGGTCTTCAGTCTTCTAATCTCTTCCCTGAGTTCTCTGATCAGCTTTACATTTGCATCCTGAAACAGACAACTGGGTCAGCATTCATTGATGTCAGGTCTCAGTCAGCTATGAGATGCAACCTGCTGTTAGCTTGGAGGAAGCTCCTCATGTGGAATAAACAACTTGTAGGGCAGTCTTCTCAAAGTGTGATCCCAGAATCAGTGCTGCCTTCATCAAAGAACTTATTAGATACTAATTGCCTCCATCCAATACCCACTAACTTTGAAACTTTTTTTAATAAACCCTGCAGGTAACTGCATACACCCTGAGAATCACTACCCCAGAGAAGGCGGTCAGGCAGGTCACACACACCAGAACATGTTTAGGTGGTAGATGTTAATCTTCCAGTGTTGTGACTGAATTAGTACCTCCTAACCCAAGGTGGGCATATCTGGTTACCAATTTGTGATGTCTGCCCTGAAACTTTTCAATGAAATTGCAAAGTAGATACATAACTTTTGGAATATTCTCATTATTATTCAGTTTTCAAAATGAATGAATCCCCTATCAGCCCAATTCCAATCTGAATAGAATAAAAGAGAGACTAAATAGTAAAAAATAACATCACCATAAACTCAAAATATACATAAACACAGAAACTTTCAAATGATCCTTCTTACACTGTACCAGGGATCTTGGGAGGAATGGTCTTAGAGAAATCTCTAAATAAATTTTTCATAAAAGTTCGCTGAAAGAAGTCAGCAGGATATGAGAAAAGGGCATGAAACTTGAACTAAAGAAGTTCACTCCTCATCATTGGGAGAACAAATCTATCAAGTTGGTGTTGAGTTCAATGAGAAAGAAATCAGTGAGGAAAAAGAACTCTGTGTAAACCATCACAGGGGACATCGGTGAAGGCCTCACCTCATTGACCCGTGGCTTATTGATGATGTTTTTGGCGTTGGATGCATATCTCAGAGTGCTCAGGGTCTCACTGTAGCTAGTGTGTGCAGGAGACACAGCTGAGAGAGAAGGAGAAAGTGAAAAAGCACACCACGTCCATCCCACCCAGCCCATAGCCTCTTGCCTAATGCTAACGTCAGTAAGCGTCCTTTGATGAAATGGGTCATCATGAGCTAGCCCCAACACAGGACCAGCTCCAGCCCCCCACTTACTGGCCACCATGATGGTCTTGGAGTTGCCTCCAAGGCTGTCCTTCAGCAGCCAGGTCAACACAGAGTCCCGGTAGGGGATGTAAGACTGCCTCCGTGAGGGCCCCCCTCCACTGCTGGTCCCCAGAGGAGAGCTAGGGATCCCACTGTCACCACCGTCACTGGCTGTGCTGTTGAGGCTCTGGCAACTGCTGAATACTTGAGAGTTCTGGGCTTAAAAGACAAAAAATAATTAAAGTGGAAGAAAAAAGAAGACATGAAACAAATGAAGCATGGCACTTCCCAACTGGGCTGCTTTGCTTGAGCCCTGAAGTAGAGTTTGGATTCATGACAGGGCATGTTAGCCACACAATTTTTCAGTCTTCACTCTTTTTCGAATAAGAGTACTGGAATTTGTTCTAAATCCATAGACAAATACCAGTTTTTCATGGTCACACCCGAAGGTAACTATCAAAAGGAATTTTGTTAGTATCTACCCACGTGATACAATGAAAGCCAGTTCTTTTCCAAAGTCTCCCTCCCACTCTGCTGCTGCAGTGTGTCAGTAAAATACCTAAGGTGGAGATGACAATTCCCAGGGTCACGAGAGACTTGTTGATATTGGCTCCTTCAGTGATCCGGTCCTTACAGTAACTGGGATCTGCTCTTTCACTAAAACACAGCCAATGACAACACACACTAAAGCAAACAAGAAGACACTATCCTTTCACTGTTGTTGAAAGATACTAGACATCACGCTGTACATCATGTAAAAGAACCACATAATAAATTCCCTTTAGAATTCAACTCTAGAAAAAAAGGTTACCATCTTATAATGAACTGACATTCTTCTGTTTCTCAGATAATAAAAATTAAGTCATTTTTTACAGTTCTGTTTTTGACTGCCAGAGCACTTTCAGTTAAATGTAGTACTCATTTACAGTAATAGCATTAGCATAACTTTTTGGTATATATCCTCCCCCTCTGTCTTTGTTTTAATTGCACATGTTAAAGGCTTGTGGTATCTGTGTCATTAACTGTCAACATCTCAAATTCCCTTTTTAAGCAAACAGGAAATATTAAAAATTTATACATCCAGTTTGCTGACATAACTTCTTCCAGACAGCACTTAGTTTTTAAGGAACTGCTATAACATATTAATTATTTAGCAGTTATAAATCAAAAAAAAATTGCCTATTTCATTAGACACTTTTTTTTAAAGATTTATTTATTTATTTATTCATACAGAACTGGGGTACAGACTGGAGATGCGGAGGGTGAGAGGATTCACCAAGGACAGAGTGGGGAGCAGAACAGGCAGATCGACGAAGCACACTGCTGAGGGGAGCAGCAGGCGGGTCAGGAGAGGTCTGCCACACCATGTGGATCTCCTCCGGGGCAGGCAGGAATCGAACTCATGCTGCAGTGTCTTTAGCTTCTCAGTGCTGTGCTTTAACCTGCTGTGACCAGGGAGGGCCCACACTGGACACTTTTTAAAAATTTTTAAATTTATTTTTTGCATCATTCTTCATTTTGTGCATTTTTTCATTTCAGTTGAAATCCCATGGGCTTCCTACCACCAATTCACCTGTGTGTCATCATCATAGTTCTGTGCACTCCTCCCACCCACTCCAGTTTTGATCCTATTTCCCTCTCCATCCCTGTAAAATGTCTCTGGTTTATAGTTGTTCATTTTCATTTTTTTCTTTATTCCAATTGCTTTTTTTCCCCTTTTGGTCCCTTATGGTCCTGCTATGAGTGAAACCATCGAGTATTTTTTTTTCTTTGTGGCTTTCTTTCATTAAGATGATCCCTTCTTGCTCCATCCATATTGCTGCAAAAGGCATGAGTTTATCTTTTTGACTAATATTCCATTGAGTATATGCACCATATCTTCTTGATCCAGTCATATAGTTTTGGGCACTTGGGTTGATTCCAAGTCTCCCCTATTGTAAAAAGAGCAGCAATAAACATGGGGGTACAGATGTCATTGGACACTTTTTTGGTGACCATGTTATCTCCAAGACTTTTTCTTTCTGGACATTTGACTACTCATACTTCTATGACAGTATCTTCTCTCTAATGCCACAATATTTTATAAAACTTTATTTAAAGTAATGTGTTGAGATCAATAAGGGGTAAAGAAATAGAAGGATGTCAGTTCATTTTAAGATGGTAACCTTTTTTTTCCCTAGCACTGAATTCTAAAATTCAGTTACCCCCACTTAGAACAGGGGTTTACGGTCCTGGTTGTCTACTACAATGAACTGGTTAGCTTTAAAAACTACTGATGCCCACTTTATGAACCCCCTCCCCAACTAATGATTTGATTAATTTGGTCTGAGGTAGAATCTAGACACTGGGAATTCTTAAAAGTTTCAGGCGTTTTTTTGTTTGTCTGTTTTTAAAGAATTATTTATTTATGCTTACAACTGGGGTACAGGCTAGAGGTGTGGTGGGTGAGAGGATTCACCAGACACAGAGTGGGAAGCAAAACAGGTACACTGACAAGTACACTGCTGAGGGGAGCAGCAGGCAGGTCAGAAGAGGTCTGCCGTGCCATGTGGGTCACCTCCCGGGTGGGGTATCGAACTCATGCTGTAGTGGCTTTGGAGAGCTTCATAATGTGGTACTTTAATCTGTTGCACCACCAGGAAGAGCCCCCAGGTGTTTTTAATAGCATCTAGGATTGAGAACTGATATAGAAGAATTTTTCAGTCTTTGGAAGATCATATTTCTTAGTCCAATATTCACTGTATTTGTTTCTTTTGTAATTTTGTATTAAAATGTGAACAAGATCGATCTATAACTATCCCCTATAAAATGAGCAAGAAAAAGATCATTGTCAAGGGAGTAATTCCCCGTGGTTTTGAAATCCTAATTACCTGCCCGCTAGGTCCACAAGGTTGATCTTGCTAGCAATTTCCGAGGGGAGGTTGTTTTCCAGGATTGCCTAAGGGAAAAAATACACTCAAAGTTCATCATTTGGAACAATGGGATCTTCTTTTCAGACACCCTCCTAACCAATCATATTTTAGATTACTTAAAACATCTCACTCACTTAAAACATCTGTATTTTAATAGGCTTTGTTCCAGTAAGCCTCGGGGCATTACATTATTAAAAATACAAGCAGAAAAAAAAATACAAGCAGACTTTCATCAGAGTACGTGGGAAAATCTCCAAGAGGTCCTCATACTTTTCAGGAGCATCAGAGATTTTAGTACACTAAAATGCTATACTCTTCTACAGGAGGCTCTGACTCTCATCAGTAGATACTCACAGCAGGTGTGGAGCTTCGACTGGGGTTTTTCTGTTGGTAGCCTGAGCCAGTGCGTCAGTTTGCTCGGGCAAGTTCTGTCTCTATTCTAGTGAGGAGTATCCAGCCCTCAAGAGCAATACTACTTCCCCTTTACCCAAATTCAATGTGAATTTTTCGTCTTGTTTTAATGTACATACATTACCAGAATCTAGTTTTAAATCATTTCCAATAATTGCCAAAGTCGCCTCAATAATGTTTGCAATCAATCTCTACTCTCATGCCCCATACCCAGACAACTATCACCAATGCTCTCTCTAAACTTGTCTTCTCAGGATAGTGCCTACAGATGGAATAATGCAATGCCTAGCTTGTTTCATTATGCATCATTATTTAAGATTCACCCATTCTGAAGGTGTATCAATAGTTCAATCATGCTTATTGGTGAGTAGAATTCCACTGTACGAATATACCATGGTACACTTATCTATTCACTTCTTCATGAACATTTGGCTTGTTCCCAGTTTTGGGTAGTTACAAATAAAACTGCTATTTGTGTGGACATAGAATATCTTTTCTCTTGGGAAAATACCTTGGCATGGAATGACTAGCTCACATGGTAGGTAATATGCTTGCTTGTTTGTTTTCAAGGGCCAAGTTTTTTACTTGTTCATTTCTTGCATTTGAGGCACTCCTCCAATGACATCCTTGACTTGCGATTCTTTGTCATAATCTTTAATGACCACACAATCCCAGCCAATTGCTTTATAGTTTATGCTTTACAAGGATTTCCCTCTCTGTAGATTTTACAGAAGCCTGCTCATTTACCCAGTTTCTTGTCATCATCAATCTTAAGTAGAATTATTTGCACTGAACGGGTTTAGCGCTTGTTGAATTCTATTGAGCTCCACCTGCTAGATCACCATGGATATGGGCAGTCTTCTTGCAGAGCGGCATCAACTTCCCTTAGTGCCTCTTCCCCGTGCCCCAGCACAAGACCTTCCTCTGCCTTGGCAGTTAATGGCAGAGTCAAATCTTAAACATGTCATCCACCTCTGCATGTATAAGTAGTGCCAAAAAAATAGCTGTTTAGATTTTTAAGAAGCTGTAAAATTACTTGCCAAAGTTGTTGTCCCACTTCACATTCCCACCAGTAACATGATGTATGAGAAATCCAGCTCCTATACTTCTTGCCACTATTTAGTACATTCATTCATTTTAATCTTGGTCATTTAAACAGTAGGGAGTGGATCTAGCTTAGTTTTCATTTGCATTTCCATAATGATTAATCATTCAAAAGATGCCATTATTAAAGTGCCAGCAGCCAAAATGAGGCTCAATCTCTTTCTGATATCTGACCACAGCAAGAACCCTAAGAGGCATTTCAGTGCATCTTCCCACCTTCACAGTTTGGGCCATTACATTTACCCCAACCCTCACTAGCCACAGGGCCCTCTAATGTCTTATGTTCCTTTGCACAAAAGTGCAAATTCTGTCACCCAGGGCCATTTGGGCAGCATGAGCCCCCTTATTTTTTGCTGGGCATGGGTACAGCTTCTGTTCAGTCAGGACATGTGAGGGTCAGTCAAGCCCCTTATGGCTGTATCCATTTAACAGTCTACTAAATCCCAGATAGTCTTGTCAGTTCATTTCTTGCCTTAAAAAGACACAGAACCTTAAGACAGGAAAAAGACATACAAGGAATCCATATAGGAAAAGAAGAAGTAAAACTACCTTTATTTGCATACAACATGTTAATTTACATGGAAACCCTAAAAACTCCACAGAGAAATTAACCAAAACCATCCACCAGTTTAGCAATGTAGCAGGACATAAAATCAACACACAAAAGTAAGAGGCCTTCCTATACACAAATCAGAAGAAGCAGAAATTTAAAAAAGCATCCCCTTTTCAATTAAAACAAAAAGAATCAAATACCTGGGAGTCAACCTAACAAAAGAGGTAAAAGACCTTTACAAAGAAAATTACACAAAACACTGTTAAAAGAAATTCAAGAAGACACCATGAACTGGAAAGACATTCCCTGCTCATGGATTGGGAGAATTATCATCATCAAAATGGCCATCCTGCCAAAAGCAATATACAGATTTAACACCATCCCAATAAAATTCTCAATGGCATTCTTCAAAGAAATAGAAAAAATATTGATGAGATTCATATAGAACAACAAAAGACCTCAAATAATCATGACTAGGAAGAAAGAGAAGAGAGGCATTACAATCCCAAACTTCAAGCTATACTACAAAGCATTAATAATCAAAACTGCATGGTACTGGGACAAGAACAGACATACAGACCAGTGGAATCGGATAGAAATCTTTGAAAAAAGAGCAAAGAAGATACAATGGAACAAATAAAGTTTGTTCAGCAAATGGTGCTGAGAAAACTGGGAAGCTACATACAAAAAAATGAAACTAGATCACTACCTCACACCACACACAAAAATCATCTCAAAGTGGATTAAAGACCTAGACATAAGAACAGAAACCATAAAATACCTGGAAGCAAAGATGGGCCAAACACTA